GGTGCTCATTATTATTTAAATAGAGTTTTTTTGGAATTAAATTTTTCTTTGGCGTCTCGTAAAATTTACGATTTTCCCAACTCAAACGGATATCGGATAAAATCTTGACTTTTGGAGATCTTGTCTTTGTTGTAGTAGCATTCGTTATGGGTGAGAGCTGTAAGTCGATTGGGCCTGAGAGAGGTTCCAAGTCATCAAAAGTAACAGATTCGTGTATATTATTTAAAATTATGGAAGTATCTATGCTTAATGACTGATCGTTATGGGCTTCAAGGGTTTCATTTGAATCTGAAAGTGCTACCCCGTAATTTTTAAAATAAAGGAAGCCTAAATGTTTGTTATGTACACAAGGAATGCTACAATCTTGACAGCCAAAGCAGCTAAGGCGGCGTAAAGCGATGATCTTACTATGATCAGTAGTCCAAACGACTTGATGAACTTGCATCGTACCTTTAAATCCTGGAACATTGGTAGGAAATTCTTTTTCTACGATGTCACTCTCTGTAACTATCGCAAAATGTACATTTTTTATATTTTTAATTATCAAAGTCCCAAAATCTTCGAACGAACCAACATCTCCACCATATTTCACGAAATTATCAGCAGTCCGTTTAACAACAGCACCAATGCCATCCGGGGCACCTTTGCCATGGCCAGATTCTTGGAAATTCCATGTCACTCTATTAATACTGGGGATAGTGTCTTTCAATTTTGTAATCATATAAAAAATATTCTTATTCCTGTATTGGCTAGACGGCGAATCAGATAAAAAATGTACGGTATTAAACGAAACTAGCTCATAAGCCATTTTTAAAATAGGGCATAAGTGAGCCCATATAGCTCCAGCGTCATGTTTTAGGCAATCACTTATTGTACAAAACGATTTTGTTTTAAAGGTACCCTGTATGTTTTTATAGTAAATAACTCCTGTATGTAAGGATACCTGTTGACGACTTCCTCCGAAGTGGTAGGATTGTATCTCCTGATTGTATTTTAAGCAGTAATTCTCACTAAAATCTATGTGTACAAGTATCTCATCATCTTTCAAATTTTGTTTTAATTGTTTGATAACCTCGTACTGTACTGTAATGTTTATGTTGTGCTTAAGGAATGGAATTAACATTGACTCTAATTTGTAAATAACATCGCGCGGATAATCTTCAAGTCTTTTTTTATGGTAACAATTTTAATCTTTTGTATCCCATTCTTCACTGTATATGATTTTTTCTCTGCAATCCATTGATAAAACTTAATTTTTTTGTCATTTTTGAATTCACGATAACTTAAAACTTTACTTACGCATGCTGTGCATGTACGTTCAAGACAGTTTTGCTTTATATCACAACAGAGTGTTTTAATAACGTCTGTACCAGTACTTTCGGTGATGATTTCTGCAGTTTTTAAAGCCTTAATTAAAAGATTTACGTTGGAATGTAGTTTGCACTGACAAGTCTCTCGATCTTTATTAGGAAAATCCACCCAGTAGGGTCTATATTTACAAAATGTTGAATAGCTTATGCTACTTTGCTCCTTCAAGAACTTTTCATGCAAATTTTTTAAATTATCAGTCAGGTACCGCTTCTGTTTTTTCAGGCCTCTGTTTTTTATAAATTCTTTCTTCCCCGCAGCAACTCTACTATTTGTGTCTTCTTCGAAAAAGGAATGAATGTCATTTATCAATGACTGTTTTTTTTCTTTTGTAATTTTTTTCTTTCTTCTAACAAATGGCAACTTATGAAGTAGCTTATATTTCCTCAATCTCTCTTCATTATGAATTATCTGTCCTGCAAAATGTCTCTTTTCCTTTTTAGTCATTGTTTTATATACGTCTTGTACGTTCTGTGATATACTTTCACTAAAAAGCAGTTGTTTTTTAACTTCTTCTTTTTTTTCGGGTCGTATTACCGTTAAAACTTCTTCAATTCTCTTTTCGACACAATCATGTTCTGGTTGACCTATATTAATTTGTTTACGAAAAGCATCTTTTTCCCTCTTTAGTTTATTAATTTCATCTTTTAATTTCTTCACCGTCTTTGAATGAGTATACCGCAAACGTCTTAATATTGCGCTGTTGAACTTAAGTAATCTTACATTTTTAATACTCGGAGTTGAAGACGGTCCCGGTTCAGCAAGCATCAAGGGATCTGAACTAGGAGGGTCTGGGTTAACATTAGTCTTCAATTCACTCTCTGGAGGTAAATTTTCTATTAATATTTTATGTATTTCGTTTTTTTTCTTCCTTCCTTTTTAAATACTTTCGAGAATTTTTTCTCCAACGTCTTCTTTGTTCTCGTTGTGCTCTAGGGGTCATTTCTTTGATACTACAAACTTTTTTCTTTTCTTTCCTTGCTAAATATCTTGTTCTTTCGTTTTCTTTATGTATAGAATACAGCTCTGGGTCGTTTTTTATTTTTTTATATCTTTCTCTTTTACGTAGTCTGTCTTTTGCTAATTTTTCTTCTCTAGTTAATTTTTTACTCGTTTTGGCCATTTTGGCACTAAAAAAAGATAAAATAATAATATCGTATAAGGTATAGTCATATAGGCCATAATTATTATAAATGTACGCTTAAAAACTGAAAAGTAACTCGTAGTTTAAAATTAAATGAATATTTTTCATTTCCTTCTAAAGGACTTCATTACCTTCCAACAATAAAATGGACGGTACGGATAGGAATGAAATGGAGATGAATGAAAATTTTCAACTATTTGCTGTGTTATCTTCATAAAAGTTTACATTAATAGACAATGGATTGTAATATAGATCAAAACTAATTAAAAAAACGTATTTGTTGAAAAATTAATAATTTATATTTTACATTACCTTGTGGAATCGAAGGAATGTGATGAAATGATTTATGGACGAAACACTTAAAACAATGTAAAGATCGTCAATAATTTTGACAGCAATAGACATACGTCCACCTCGCTCAGTGGCCTCGGCTGACTGATCGCTCTAAATATACTTTGTGTTTGGTGCCCTCTCAGTAAACGCCTTGATCACGTACCTGGAGTTAAGTTTTAGGGTATGGATGGTAATGAAATTTTAATTGTGACAATTTTACATATGTTAATATTTTTAATTGTATTAAGTTAATTATTTATTTAAAATATTTTATCGATAAGTAATGATTTCAGTTACAATGTAGCATAATCATAATAGCTGTTATTTGGGAGATTGACAAATTATTATTAAAAAACCAGCTGAGGTACCCCGTTGGAAACAGAGAGGAATGATTTTTCAGGCAGGTTTTCGTATTTTTTTAATAAACTTAGTAATATACGTGTAATAGTAGCAATGCTACTTTTAAAGTGATTATTTTCAAACCTAATGGGCAAATAATATTCAAAATGTATACCTTTTGACATGTGAAAATTGGTCTGGAAATGCTTTTTGCATGAAACTACGGAATGACCCAGGGGCATTTTGTGTCCTAATTTCGATTTACAATCTTAACTCTTTCTTTCAACATGGAGATCTTTGCAACAGATATATTTAGTTTTATAGCTTTTTTATATAGTTGATAATTTATGGTCCTACCACTGTCGTAAAATTAGTTACAAATCTGTAAATATTTACACCTTCTTCAGACACATGTCATAATAATATGTATCTTGAAAAATAATTTTGTAAATAATATAACTCGTTTACATGACTAAGACTTAGATTTTATGAAAAACAGGTGGTGCTAGTCTTATATTGTGTAAGGACCTTTTAGATCCTATACAACCCTTTTTCCAATGTTACTGATCATTATATTATTATGCTCCTTAAATTCTTAAATTATTATTTATATATATTACTAGCGCCTGACAATTTATATTCTGAAACTACAATGAACTGCAACGAATGCTGTTCTAAAACATAAGGTAAATGTAATTATTAAAGTGCAGTTTAAAAAAAATTGCAAGTTCTAGAGATATCAAATTATATCGTTTGGATGAAGTAATAAAGTAGAAAATAAATGTTGCATACGGCATTCGTGTACACTACACTTTCGTGTGGGGCAAAGTTCTATAGAGAATCTGCCATTCTCCTTTGGTATGTAATTTATTAAATCCTAACATGCTATGTTTATGAAATTATACCATACAAATAATAGTCAACTCGGCGACTAGGCGGAGCAACGATGGGACGCGGTATGAAGGAGAGCGGAGTTCCCCTCTGCCCACGACGTCTGCGGTAGTACCGGTCGGTTTCGCTTGCGTACCGAAACGCCCGTTTATTAGAAGTGTCACATACTCGTATACGAAATCAGTTGCACGCTTTTGATATTCACCCAGCAACATGATATTACTTGATATTATTTTGAAGAAGAAGAATTCTAAAACCATGTGATTGCATTCCACCACGATTTTTAAATGAATTATATGTAAGGACGAGAATTAATTATATCATTAAATTCAAAAAAATACAGTTGAATAACCTCAATAATAAATGTCAACTATTTGTCCGTTGCACATCTGTAACGTGGCGGTTGAATAAATAGAACCAACGTATAATTTTAACCTGTTTTATTTATTTTGTTCAAATCCCTATCAAATATTTTAAGCGGAATACCTGAGATACTGCTATATAGGTATATAGTAAAATTAGGTAGGTATCTACCAGCACAAGCCTGTTTCCATCACGACGAATCATGTGAAGCTGCGTAACACAACTAGTTTTGTAAAGTAGTAATTCGTTTGTATCTTTATCTTTTAAATATAATATATAATAATATATTATATTTTATTAAGGAAATCTTTTTGTGACAGACAACCCTTGCACTTTTAGCGACTTGATGTCGAGACAGCCTTGAACCTACAAGGATGTCTCGATTTTGCGGTATAACAAAGGAGTTGACCTACTAATAGAATTTATTACACATATGACCATACTACGACATTGTTCACTGGACATAGATAAGAGTCATTTCACCTTTTTGCCGCTGTATAAAAACAATGATAAACTAAAAAAAACAACCATTTATAATGTCAACGAGGCAACCGCACTGAAAATGAAAATACTGTTGTCCAGTAATGTCACCTGGAAGAAAAAGGTTTGACATGCACGTCATTCACGTATCATTTTTTTGCTAACCTAAAATGTTTTATCAAATGACTTGATTTCGCTGTTTTTACTTATTTTTTTACGCATATTTTTTCACAAATTTACGAGGCTAAATCTTAATTGTATCGCGACACGTTTCGTTTTGCGTTTAAGAATTTTTTTAACGCGTTACTTTTTTTTAATAATGACTATGCGTTAGAGAATCTAAATATGGATACCGACCCGAATAACACTGTAAGTAAATAGTTGTAACAAAAGTATCCAATACAAAAGCACGTTTTGCTTCCCTAGAAATATAATTCTGTTTAAACTGTAACAGCGTTTATATTCTCTAGCAGTTTTAGGATTTAGTTTCTAGATGTTCGGTACGCATGACAAATAGACGCACTTGTAATGTAAAATCCTAAAGAATAAACTTTCCTATAGCAAGAAGAGTTTACCATACGAGCCGCGGGTTCATTAGTTCTGCCCTTTCCGGTAGGTGGCGTAATGGGTTGCGCACTCCTAATTCACTTAGGACTTCTTAAATGTGAATTTAAAATTAATTATTATTAACTCCACTTTTTTGGCACTAAACCAACCTACATATTATATGATGAATATGAGTAATTTTGGTTCATAAATATAACATTTCTTAAAAGGCTAAAGTAACTACAAAGAAGTTAGGTATTTTTGCAAAGAAACGTCGGTACTTCACGCCGGCACCTTACTCTATATGAAGCGCAAGTTCGGTCGTGCATAGAATATTGATACTGGACTGGTGCTGCAAAATGCTACAGCTTTGGAGTCAATGAAGGAGTGTGCTCCGAAGCTTATTTGTGACCAGAATCTGGTTCGGTAAATTGGTCTGGAAATCAGATATCGAATACAGGCGCAAATTAACAGGTGTTACGGTTTTCTACAATATACATTTTGGAGAGTATGCACAGGAATTGCATAACTAAATTTCTCCTTTTCCCTTTCATCATCGGACAGCCAGATGCTCGGCTTGGCCAGTCATCACCCCTTCGTTATCGGCTTAACACGCATTCAAACCAAACGGCTTGCTTCAGTATTCGTACAGCAAAGGAGTTGAATAAGTTGTCAGCATCTGTCTTTCCATCCGATTACAGTGTGGGTGTCTTCAAGGCAAGAGTGAATTGGTTTTTGTTAAGTCAGTGCGCTTCACCATCTTAGGCTACATCACCACTTACCATCAGGTGGGATCGTAGATAAGCGCTGGCTTAGTAGAATATAAAAAAGAAAAAAGAAATGTGTATTACTGTTTTGAACCCTGCCCCCTCTCTCCCTTCCCCCTCCTCAACTTTTACGAAGGTGTGCTACAGAAAAATTTTAATCCGCCAACCGGTGCTAGATGTTGAAAATCTGTACAATGCATGTTCTTTTCCTTTTATTTACCAGTCTGTAACAGTCCACTGCTTGGTTTAGTATAAGAGACTCGACTATAAATGTGTACGCGTAAACACAGTCACTCATTTTTTCAAATCTACCTATAGGACCTTAGGTCGATTGCAGCCTGATATTTCGATTACTCGGCTACGTGATCGTCAAATAATTGAGTACAATAAAGAATATTTTAAGTTTTAAAATCTCTTAGCCAGAGGTTTTTTTTGTCTTGTAGTTCTGCTGGGTCAGTACTAAGCTTACCTAATTCTGTCACCAAGCAGCAGTGAACCGACTGCTATGTTTAGAAGGTTAATAGAGCCCTATTAATACCAGGGTATCAGGCATTTCATCTTAGTCCTCAAGGGAGTTTATACATCTGAGGTATCTTTGTTGTTAGCATGTTGGTAGCAAGTGTCAATTGGCTTTAAAGCCACTTACCGTCAGATGGACTCTCACCTGTAGTTTTATTAAAGATATAAACTATGATCAGTCTCGTTGTTTTCTGTTGCTCCGTCACACTTTACATAAACTCTTGATTTTTATGTTTTAATTTTTTATAAGTAATTTTCGGAATATAATACCTATGTATCCGCAAGGCGAGAATTTTGTCAAGATTTTTTGTGTCGTAATTTATAATAAAAAAATATATTATGTTGTGCGTATAGTCCTGGATTTGTTTTTGTTTGCTATTATTGTCTGATTCACTTATTAATTTTATACATGTTGTACATTTTAACTGGACTCCATTTTTGATGCTCCTATTTGTGCGATGTTCTTTAAACGACGAAAGATTATGTTACTGTATATCCATTAGTAAGAACCTAATATCTTTTTTGGCTTCTTGTAAGTAATTAAACATGTCATTTACTTAAAATTTGTAAGCTGTTGGTTTTCCATAACATAAAAAATAAATAATGTCGTCATGTCCGTGTGTTCAGACGGCGGGTCGCGAGACCGGGCGGTGCATGTCGGTAGCGGCGATGCAGGCGCTGCACCGGCTGCGCGAATGCCGGCTGCTGTGTGACGCCGTAGTGCGCGCGGACGACGGCGCCGCCTTCCCAGTCCACCGCGCCATACTCTCCGCCTGTAGCCCTTACTTCCTGTGAGTATCCACGTAAAGCGTAGCCGTGGTAATTTAAATAATGTCCTCCAGACCTAAATTCGGTCACGGCACGGTGGCCAGTCCTAACGGCGTCTAGCCATCTGGGCAGGACAGGATTATAGTGCCTGAGTGTATGCGCAAGAACAGGTGTACTCTCTATTTCTTTATGCTTATAATCCGATAGGACGGCAATCCGATACGATCGGAGAGAGATCAAGTGCAGGACCAAGTCTTTACGTGCTGTCCGAGGTTCAGCAGTGAAACACCGTCAAATTCCTGACTCCGGGCTGCTACTGAAAATTTCTGGACAGAAAAACCAATTAACTATTTATTAGAACATTACAATAACATTAACAGTCTGGTAAGTCCAAGTGAGCACAGAGACGATCCCCTTGCACTAGTTATGTTGTTACCTAAAACTGTTTTTAAAAATTTGGTTTAGCTGCCCAACCAAGTTCAATCCGTCGATGGAACTCTCGGTCGAAGTTGGACTTACCTAGTTGGACTATTTGTCCCAGGTAAACAAACTCGTCAACAACTTCCAACGTAGTGCTTCCAACAACTACCGGCATAGGTGTTACGTTACACATGACTATAGAGCATAGTGCCTAGGTCCTCCAGCGATTCTGCCATAAGGAATATATTGTCGGCAAATTGAAGGTGATGTGTGAGGTACTGGCCATTGATGTTAATACCGCATCCTTTCCAGTCCAGTAGCTTCAAATTATTTCATCATTAGTAATTTAATGATATTTTTTAAAACAGGGCACTATTTACAACCACCTTGCACTCCCGTGAACAAAGTGACGTGCTGATATCGGGCGTGCGCTCTGAGATTCTGCTGCTTCTGATCGAGTACGCGTATCTGCGGCGCATTGACGTGACGGACGCAAATGTGCACGAGCTCCTCATGACCGCCGACTACCTCGCTTTCCTCGGCGTGCTGCAGTTGTGTTGTGACCATCTACGTGCCTCACTCAATCCGAGGAACTGTTTAGGGATAATGATGTTTGCCAGGTGATAGCCGTTCTTTTCAAATAAACCACTAAATATAATAGGTAATCATTATAAAGAAAATTGGAGATTTGCTAAGATTAATAATTTAGTGGGAGAGGTGCGTCAGGTTCGTGCCAAATGGAAGTCCGTAGTCTTGATCCTCTAGGTAACGGGCGTGAGAGTTTATGTATGTATTTATGTATGCTAAGATTTGCTTTGCTACTTCTAGATGTCTAGATAGATGGTAGAGCAATGGTAACTGGGTACTGTGAGCTGTGACCCATAGATATGTATATCGTTGCCATCCTTTAAGAATTACTCGTATTTTTTCATCAAGAATCATTACAGGCAGTCTCCGAATGGGGGGATACCAATTTTTTGAAATTCTTACGTCTAAAAGGAGCCATCTCATCTAGGCCCTTTCTTTCCGAAATATTATCAGTTATCACTAACCATCTTCAGCTGTTGGGGGTTCAGATTTCCCCAAACCTGAGCTTTAGACGGTTCATGAGTTCAAGGCCAAAGCAGCTGCAAGGAAGTTCGAAGTCATTGCATATACTACTTCACACTGTATCTATATATCTATATAAAGCGCAAGTCCGATCGTGCACCGATTATTGAAGCTATACATGGGCTGGTTCCGCAAAATGCAACCTAGCAGCTTTGAACTCATTGGAAAGTCGTGCTAAGAGATTTATTTATTATTGGTGAACTGAATATGGTTTTAACCAATCTCACCAGCCTCGAACACAAAGTATTCAGCCTTTCGGTTTTCTACAGGATGATACAGGTGCGCAGGAATTGCATAACTTAATTCCTCCTTCTCCCTTCGACAATCGGATAACCAGACGCTCGGCCAACTCCATCCTTTCGTAGTCGACATGTCATTCGAAACAAATGGTTTGATTCATCATTCGTCATGCGTACAGCAAAGGAGTGGAATAAGTTCCCAGCATTTGTCTTCCCATGCGAATACAATGTGGGTATCTTCAATGTAAGAGTAAATAGGTTTTTATTAAGTCAGTGCGCTTCACCATCTTCTGGTGCATCACTACTTACCATCAGGTGTAGAATAGTAAAAAAAAAAGAATAAAAAATTATCGCCTTCAAGAGACTTTAAGTAGAGGACAGTGGAGGAAACAAGGAGGTCTCCGACATACGAGTACCACTTCGTATAAGCCATAAGATACCCAGACCCGCAACGGAGTGCAGCGTCAGAGTCTAGTGTCTACTAGTGAGTACTGTGATTAATGCCAAGCTGCATATCCTTCTATCTGTGGGATGTGAGTAACACATTTATAGTCGAGTCTCTTTTACTAAACCAAGCAGTGGGCTGTTACAGACTGATAAATAAAAGGAAAAGAACATGCCGTGTACAGATTTTCAACATCTAGCTCCGGCTGGGAGATTAAAATTTTTCTGTAGCACACCTTCGTAAAAGTTGAGGAGGGGGAAGGGAGAGAGGGGGCAGGGTTCAAAACAATAATACACAATACCAATAGACATATATATATACACATTAATAGGATAAAACATCAGAGTAGGTACACATTGCTGGAAATAGGTTTAGTATGATAGTGAAAACGAAGTTTTTTCTGTTTTTTTTTTTATTTGTTTCTTTTTCTGTTTCTGTTAAGTAAATTATTAAGGGAAGGGGGGCTAGACTTACGAATTAATCTAAATTCTTTATTATAGCTCTACATAAAGGGTTGTGTGAAAAGGTTGTCTTTTCTTTCCCGCCGGGCTTAAGGAGATAATTTTTCGCCCTACTCCTCCCTCTACTCTCTACGAGGGTGTCAGACTGGGAAGAGGGAGGCCCGTGGTAGGTTCCGAAAGGTTATTTTACAGCAGTAAACCGATTTCCGAGATTCGTTGACACCTTTGATCGCTATGATGGAATGTCTCGTTGCCAGTAAGTTCCCAAGTCATTTTTGTTTAAGGATAGATGTAGGTGTATATGAGCCCTATCATTTACTTACCCTCAGGTGGTCTTTGGCTCGTTTGTTTCTCTTACGTGTATTTTAATCTTAATAAACTTTTACAGACGGGTGTTCTGCTATAAGTTGGAAGCTGATGCCCGGCGCTACCTTTTACGGTATTTCGTAAAAGTTGCAACGCAGAGTGACGAATTCCTTCACCTACCAATTGACGAGCTCAATGCAATCATACTGGAAGATGAACTGAACGTAAAGAGCGAAGAAGTTGTATGGGACGCTGTACTCCGATGGGTCAACTTTGATTCTGATCAGCGCTGGCAGCATACCGTTAAGCTAATGGGCAGTATACGTTTGGGACTATTAGATACGCAAGTGAGTACATTTATGAATATATATTTATTCTTACTGAATAATTCAAATTAGGGTAGCTCTCAGAGTTTGTGAGATAAGTGGCAAAGAGCTGGTCACGTCTGTAGCGGGAATGATAACAGGTGGAATAAGCGAGGCTTTGAATGAAGGTCTTCTCTAGCATAAAATACTTGGGGACGCCTTTTTGCTAGAGAACACGACAATGTGTGCAAAGTGGCTGGAAGTAATTGTATGCTTTATACCATAGATTGCGACAGTTTGGATTTATTTCCAGTAGTGACTAACGTAGGCTGTTGATAGCGTTCATGATGAAAAAGTGATCGAGTTACCACATACTAGATCAATCAATTTTGTCTTTAGTTTTTTCTAGAGAACGTGAAAGATCATCCATACGTCACCAGCAACGAGGGTTCGCGCCCAATTATCATAGAAACACTAAAGTTTCTGTACGATTTGGAAATGATTGCGCAGCGAGACGGAGAAGTCGCTACACCTGAGATAGCTCGACCAAGAGTTCCTCATGAGGTACAAATTTCAATTCTACTTATTCTTCTTTTCCGCTGCATACAGGAATATAAATTTTCGTATTAGTAGTTAATGCCTGAATTTTGTATTTCATTATTTTATCTAAATTGCTTTGGGATTTTAGTTAACATATCCCAGTGAAATTATTATGTATAAAGCGTTACTACTTTGGGCTTTAGGTGTTGTTTGCCATTGGAGGATGGAGCGGTGGATCGCCAACTGCATTTATTGAAACGTACGACACTCGTGCTGATCGATGGATTAAGGTAACCTACTTATGTTTTTTAAAAGATTTTAATTTGAAGAACTGCGCTTCAGCTGTATTCGATGATATACGGTCGGTCGGTCGGTACGGACGGTCGATGGTATATTGATTGCAAAAGACACACGTTTTGTAGAGAACTGAAATCTCTTTTAGTTGTTAGGGCGACAACACATTTGAATTTTGATTTTGATTTGAATTTATTTCAATATAGAATGTCTTTGGGCTACAGCGTCCACTTACCATCTGGCGTGTGCATGTTTGAAACTGTTAATTGTATAAAACATATTTGAACAGAATTAAAGTGATTTTTCTTTTTGTGATGTAGATGGACAAATGTGTTTGTATAAATTATATGACTTTTCTTTATATGTGTTTTGTTTTGCTTTCATTTCTTTTATGTAGGTACTTTTATTTGTAGTTGTAGCATTTATTGGTTGCTACTAGTATACATAGAAATATTTGTTTAAAGTTACAGCCTAAATACGTCCCACCGCTGGGTACAGGCCTCCCCTCATTTCTGAGAGGATTTTGGGGCAAGGAAGTGTCTAAATTTAAAACGCGCTGTCCGAATGTGTGTTTACGGACTTCACATGTCTTCGAAATATTTTTTTTTATTTCTCAGACATGCAGGTGTTCCCTCACGATGTTTTCCTTCACCGCCGAGAACGTAGTAAATCAGCATTTAAAATTGCAGCGAGCGCTAAGCCCCTGAGCTGCCACGATCTTCCTTCTTTAAAATCTTTAAAGTTTTTGTTTGCTATCAGATAGCGTAATTCTATCTCACTCTTTAGCAAATGAAATAAAAAGAAGGATTTTCTTTCATTTGCTACGGGACAGAAAGAAACAAAAAAAGGGATATCATTTTTACTTGCAATTGTTGACATGGTGAAGCTTCATTTTCATTTTTAACTTTAGTTTTGAATTAAAAAAAAATTACTTTTTAATATATAGTATGTAGATGCACCTGTATGATAATAATATTGTATTGGACAAGAGACTTTTCCTACATACAAGTGTAGTCATCAATTTCAAATCAAATTCACCAAACGTCTGGTAACTTTACCCGTTTGTGTATATTACATATGACGTGTACAAGCTTACACTGCCTTTTACTGGACTGGAGGCTATAAGAATTATCCTAGGTGGCTTTCACACTTGTTTCGGATCTTACATCGTCAACATACAGTAAATAGAAACAGTAGCGACAGTAGGCAAACGAGCTGTCTTTAATTGTTTGTAACATGTCCTAGGTAGAAGAGGTTGACCCAGCTGGACCACGAGCATATCACGGCACTGCTGTACTCGGCTACTGTATCTACGTCATCGGCGGCTTCGACGGCATGGACTATTTCAACTCGTGCCGATGTTTCGACGCTGTAAACAAAACTTGGCGGGAGGTATATGCTCTGAATTGTTTAACCGACTTCAAAAAAGGGAAAAGGTTTTATATTCGACATGTATGTTTTGCCGAAATGATTTAAAGGATTATTTTATTATATAACTATTCTTCAATGGGAACATCATTTAAATTTTACCCCTAATGTTGGAAAAATAGGCGAATGATGTTTTTGTTATGTATGTTAACTGTTTAGTTTTCTACCTTAAGCTTATGTTAATGCTTAACCTGCCTTAAAGGGTAAAAAAATAAAACTTTTAAGAAAAAGTAAGAACCGACTTCAAAAACTGGTTAGAATAAAATATTTATTTATTTTTATTTTCACATAGCACATACTTGAGCAGCTATTAAGTAAAAATTATTTATTCCTTAAGTTTTTGAAGTAGGTGTATGTAATGTGGTTTATTTACATTTTATTAAAAGTTTTTTTTTTTAAATTGAATAACAAAAAGAAATTCGTTTTTGTTCTCTTTCAAACTTTTCATTTATTTTAATTTAATACATCGTGGACCTCCGCTGCAGCTATATTATGGTTATAGCACGAATCGGTAGGCGCCACTGGTGAGGACCACGCTGTCACAGAATACCAGCGTAAAATAGCAGCTTCATACTATTGTGCTTAGTATAAAGGTTGTAGAGAATCGGAGAACCTTATTACTGAAAATGAGGCATTCCATGTTGACCCTCAAGGGTGACAAATCATCTGCATTTTAATTCTTAATTGAAGATAGATGTATGTGTGTATGGGCCATAGCATCTACTTACCCTTATTCTATAAAATAAACATAAATAAATAAGCCGTGGTAACAATTGACTAGAAAAATAATCAGAAATTAGTTCGGCTAGAATTCGAATCCAGGATGCACGACTTGACGGGGAATATATTATGCTACAGTGTGTGGTGGCGCTGTTGTAGACTCAGTAATGTCCTAAACGTTATTTCAAACAACGATTATTTTCGATTTGGAGAAATAAATGACGACATTCTTTTTTACTTTAAATTAACCTAAATAATTGGTCATCAAATTTATATTAACGTTAAAACTCGTAATGAAATAACTATTATTTGATTTTGAAGAAACAAAAAGTAAAAAGAAATATTATAAATGTTATCTTAATTATTTGTGGGTGGATGTGGAGGAGTGTAAATTATAATGTGACACATGTCAGTGTACGCATGGTACACTTAAAGTTAAAAAGGTAAAGTTACAGCCTATATACGTCCCACTGCTGGGCACAGGCGTCCTCTCATTTCTGAGAGAGTTTTTGGGCAAGGAAGTGTCCGCCGCGCTGCCCCAATGCGTGTTGGGTGTTGGCGACTACAAGCGAAACGCATCGAATCCTAAATCGCGCTATCAAAGTTCCGAACTACTGCGATATATACAGAATATCTCTGTACTGCCACACGGAGCTTTGACCGAGTCCCGGGCTGAATACCTTGCCCGGCGAGAGATCTCCCCTTTTCTTTCCACGGCCCAAAGTATATCTGCTTATTACTATTATTTATTCTATGGTGGTGACTTTTAATGGCTGACAAATAAAATTTGGAACAGGTTGCACCAATGAACGCGCGTCGCTGCTACGTGTCGGTGGCTGTGCTGGGCGAGACGATATACGCGATGGGCGGGTACGATGGTCACCATCGCCAAAACACGGCGGAACGTTTCAACCACCGTACCAACCAGTGGTCGTTGGTGGCGCCGATGAACGCACAGCGTTCGGATGCAAGCGCCGCCGCACTTGACAGTAAGTTTCTTGATTCCAGAGACAGTTCAATATAGATTATAAATAATACTTACTGAAAGTCACTCTTTCCTTTAATTTACCACTGGTTAAGAAAAAAGCCTCTGTCCTTGGAAGAACCAGCAAGAAACTCACCTAGACTTTTTTTTAAAGGAATAAATAACAGTTTATAATCATTTAAGATATACAATTAGAAATAGCTTGGGGGCGATCACCTCATTCCCAAGGGTTATTATCATCCATAAAATAATACCACAAGTCTGTTCATACCGCTGAAGACCATGAAAAACGACACTTGCGGTCGTTTTTATCCCATTATTTTTCTAAATGCGAGATGTAAAACATTTTAGAAAGTTTTATACCTATAGTAATTTGTATTTAATCATTAAGTTCAAAATGTTAATTACAATTAGATTTCCTGTCGAAAAATACCTACATATCTACCTAAATTGTAGGTGTGGTTGATGTTGGGACGCCCAACAATAGATAATTAATTCGTACTGCAGTCATAATATTCTGGCATCATTGGAAACGGAAAATTAAGACCAAAGGTCATGGTTTTTGTGTTGTGCTTAACAGTGTAAGAAAATTAGGAAAGGGTCCTCCGATATCCGACCAGCGTACCTACTGTGCAACTACAATTGGGTATTCTCACAAAATAATGAGAAGTACTTATAGTACAGCTTAGAAGTAGTTTAGTAGTTGCCGTGTAGTGGCGGTGTAAGAATATCCACTACCCCATATCATCCCGTGGATGTCGTAAGAGGTGACAGAGGGAAACAAATCAGGAGTTGGTCAGCACTTTTTACGTGGTAGAGCCATGCTGTTGCACGAATGGGTAGGCTCGACCGGGGAAGGACCACGCTTTCACAAAAAACCAGCGTAAAATAGCAGCTTAACCCTGCTGTGTTTCGTATGGTGAGTGTAGAGAACCGGAGACCCTTTTTACTGGCAAAGAGGCATTCCATCTTAGTCCTCACGGGTGACAACGCATCTGCATCTTGAGTCTTTATTGAGGATAGATGTAGATGTCTATGGGTCACCGTATCCACTTACCATCAGGTGGACTGTGTGCTCGTTTGTCACCCTATCCTAGACACAAAAAATCTTTTTAATAACGACTAAAATAAAAAAAAAATTCGTTTGCCAACCCGCTTGCCAAGCGTGGCAACTATGGCAAATATGAGGCAATCTAGGCCTATGTTCAGCTGTGGACTGGAGCTGGTAATAAGATGTACTAGCATAGGTATTAGATAATTTCACTCCATTGTAGGTATGAGAATATAGTATTATAACGTCATAATTTTAATAACTGCCTTGTTGTTCAAGTATAGTTGCGTCCTGGGCTCGAATCGAAACCAATCAGGCCAGAATCAGTTCATAAAATTCTCGGTAGCAGCCCGGAGTTAGGAAGTTGGCGGCGGTGTTTTATTACCCACGTGCCTCGGAATTACGTATAGCCTATGGTCTTGCGCCTGATCTCTCTCAGGTCGTGTCGAATTACCGTCCCATCGGCACTATAACGGCTGCCGAGACCGAAATTCGGTCTGGAGGACATTAAGACTTAATAATCAAATTGTACCTAGTTTTGAAACTACCTAATATTCATAAATTATGTTTTTTATAGGATTGGGTGACAAACGAGCACACAGTCCACCTGATGGTAAGTGGTTGCCGTGACCCATAGATATCTACATCTATCCTCAATAAAGAATCAAAATAGTGACAAAAGAGTGAGGACTAAGATGAAATGCCTCTTTTCCAGTAAAAAGGGTCTCCGGTTCTCTACACTCACCATACGAAACACAACAATGTTAAGCTGCTGTTTTATGCTGGTATTCTGCGACAGCGTGGTCCTTTCCTGGTCGAGCCGACCCATTCGTGCTACAACTATACTACTAATATAGCTACAACATGGATCTAGCACGTGCAAAAACCCATTAATGTATCAAATTATTAATGATTGTGTCAACTACTCAATAATTATCAACTCCCGAGTAGTTGATAATTTAATAATATAATAACCGTTTATAATTTCCACCTATTTATAACCACGGTAGACATACATATTTGTAAACACATTTAATTGAATGTTTTGTGTGCTTTCGTCACCCTTAGATAAGATATACATAACGGGTGGGTTCAACGGACAGGAGTGTATGAACAGCGTGGAGGTTTACGATCCTGACACCAACCAGTGGACGAATCTTGCACCGATGCGCTCACGTCGCTCCGGCGTCTCTTGCATCGCGTACCACAACAAGGTATTTAGGTACATCCGTTGTTATTGTCATCTTACAGGAATTGAATGTAATTTTTACTTACTTTAGCATACCCCAATTTGGCTATGTTAAAATAACAGCATATATATCGCTCACTCTTTTTAATCAATTTTTAAAAAGGACTTGTTAGGGCGTAACTCCGTCATATTATGTAGATTGATTTGCAAAATTCTTTTTTTGTTCGAAAAAGGTTTATTCCGAAATGGTCCCATTTAAATTCGCGTAAAGATCTGATGTTAATTTACGGAGACAGACCACGGAACTCTTAAATAAATGCCAACAAATCAACTGCAATTGCTGCTATCGCATATCTATGCATTGTTTACGCAACAACACAACATAACATGACGCCTGAGGGTAGAGGTGTGATGTTATGTAAATTTAAAGGGGTACGCAGATGTGTTCTGTATACCACACTACACCCAAATTTCTGTCAAAGTTGTTATTTTGAAGTCGGTACTACAATTTTTTTTTAATTTTACCTCTTGCTAGGTATAATAGTGAAATTATTCCGATCCGCTTGTACAGTGCGTGTCGGCTGACTATTTTAGTAAGTATTAGATCTCTACAGAGGTCTCACACCTTTGTCGCTGCTCCTTGTCGCCGATCTAAATATTATTTGGCGTAAACATGATGGTTGTACCACCATTTATCGGAAGCAATGAGATCTTCCGTCATTTCCCATTCTCGTCTATCACAACACCCACCAGAAGAAATGGGTATAATTATAAATCCCTGGAAACATTTTGAATTGCGCGCTTACAGGAATAATGAACGAAACTAGTATCATCATATCGCAACATTCCCGTTCTTAATAGTGTCAACAGTTGTTCAGATTAAGTAATTCTTAATTATTAATGAATCGTTTTATCTTTGTGTCAATATTGTATTTTAAATATAACTAGGTACATATGAACTTGAGTTTCTTATTGTTCATACTTGTTTAAAGATGATGTTATATTATTCATACATAATTACAATGTACTTATTTATATAATTACAATAAAATTACGATGCGTGCTGTGTTTTGCCGGTGTTAGAATATCCACTATCCCGTAAGTGGTAGCAGCATATTCCTGATAACCAACTAAACATAATAGAAAACTGCTGTCGCTACCCGCCTTCCAAGAGTTTTGACAAGGCCAATTGTTCAGCAGTGGACTCTTAACAGCCTGCTATGAATGTTCTTGGTTTTTGCAGAGTAATTCACTGTACTTGGAATCTGTAGGTATTCAATTTTCTATTGACGTATGGTTGTTAAACGAACACAGCCCACCTGATGGTAAGTGGATGCATGTGGCCCACGGACATCTACATCCTTTATTAAGGATCAAAATTCAGATGCGTTGTTACCCCTGAAGACTAAGAAATGCCACGTTTCTAGTACGATATGACACGGAACACAGCATCATTATGCGGCATGGTATTCTCTGGGAGCATGTTCTCCTCGACCTTGTAGTAAATAATTATATTGTCATCCTATAGGTGTCGGTAAGAGATGATAAGAGAGAAATGAAACAGGAGATTGGTAGCAGCATCTTCCTGATAACAAGTCAAAATTATAAAAAAACTGCGCTTGCCAAGTGAGGCAACAACGACAAATATTCCCTTATAAGGCATTTTACTCTACCTACGTTCCTACCTACGGAGGCCTACGTTCAACAGTGGGCTTTTCATACGCTGTAATGAGTACATTCTTTTACTTTCGTATACTCTATGTTGCAGATTTACGTAATAGGCGGTTTCAATGGGATCTCGCGTATGTGCAGCGGTGAAGTGTATGACCCCGCGACAAACACGTGGGCCCCGGTGCCAGACATGTACAATCCGCGCAGCAACTTCGCCATTGAAGTCATCGACGATATGATCTTCGCGATCGGTGGCTTCAACGGCGTCACCACCATCTACCACGTCGAGTGCTACGATGAGAAGACTAATGAATGGTTCGGAATAAACATTCCTTATAATTACACGGTCGTAATTATTGCGCGCGGTGCTTTATAGACAGACCGTCCACTATTTATCCTTATAGGGCGTCAGCGCTGTCGCTTGACTTAACTGTCTGGTAACTATAAGAAATGCACAATAATCACTTGCTTTGTAATTTAATTGAATATAATACTAATTGGACAGCCGTGGTAGCTCAGATGGTTAGCGCTCGCGGTAAATTTCACAATACGCGAGTAACCTGGGTTCGATCCCCGCCGGCGCCAATGAAATTGTTAATTGCAATTTTAAGTGCTGATTTACCACGTGCTCGGCGTTGAAGGAAAACATTTTGAGGAAACCTGCATGTCTGGGAAAAAAAATAAAAATATTTTCGAAGACACGTGAAGTTCACCAACACGCATTGGGGCAGCGCGGCGGACACTTCCTTGCCCTAAAACCCTCTCGGAAATGAGAGGAGGCCTGTGCCCAGCAGTGGGACGTATATATGCTGTAACTTTACTTTACTTTTAATACTAATAAAAAATTTTATCTACGAGTATTAAGTTTTTATCCTCTATTTGTATATTAGAATATGGGAAATTATAACAGGTGATGGGCAGCAGCATCTTCCTAAAGTCAACTCAAAATAATAAAAAACTGCGGTTTCCGAACCACCTGCCAAACGTGGCAACTGTGGCAAAATCGCCCCTATGTGATCTATGTTCAGCAGTGGACTTTTATAGGTTATAATGGTGATGGTAATTGAATATATTATGTACTAATTTATTCTTTAAATCTGTTAATTATAAATTAATATTAATAACGCACATCGCGCCAAAACTCGCGATACCATCCATACCATTTGGATCACTGGCGGTCCACCACTGTGCGATTTAAAAGAAGTTTTCTTCCTCGCTCAACTTCCTTGTGGAATCGACTACCACCAGAGATTTTTACGGACCGATACGACTTAGGGACCTTCAAGAAAAGAGCGTACTCCTTTTTAAAAGACCTGCTACGCATCTGCAATTCCCCTGGTGTTGCAGTTCTTCATGGGCGGCGGTAATCACTTACCATCAGGTGAGCCGTATGCTCGTTTGCCCCCTCTCCTATAAGAAAAATCTCAATACTGTTTACTTTGAAGCAATATTTTGTACCACCCGTTTTAAACAATATGATGTTGCCAACATTCAACAAATCCGAAATCAGTTTATTGTGGTCTAAAGTCACTTACAGCTCAAGGTATAAAAAGGCCGTTTTAAGCTGTCTGATTATGTGAGATCTAAAAATAGATTATAATAAATAGATACTGTTTATATACTTGAAAGAAAAATTTAAAGAGCTATGATTTCCTTCTGGGATATAGGTGTCCCTATTAGTGCAGAAGCAAAACAAAATTGTTTCTTTTAAAGGTACGAGGCCACTGACATGAATATCTACCGTTCTGCGTTGTCCGCATGCGTCATCATGGGTCTACCAAACGTGTATGACTATATTCACAAGCACCGTGAGCGACTTATGGAAGAGAAACGGCAGAAGATACTGCTCTCAGAGACGGCGAGGCACGGTCAGCATCGCACTCCGTTACCCGATGTAAGTTAATTGATTATGTTAACTTTTGAATGTATAATATTGTTTCAAATAAAAACACTTTACTTTTGATTGTTGAGCGCCACCATTAATGCCTGGTACATGGCAACACTAGTTACCACTAGCGCCCTTTAGTATCGAGTAGCAGAACTAGGATAGTCAAGATTTTTCTAGAATTTTCCACGGAAGAACTTTCTAGAACTATCGACACCTAGTCAATCGGGACCGGTATGTACTCGAACTTTCTAAATGTTTCTACAGTAGAAGATTATGGAAACTGTATGAGGCCCTATGTAAGACCGGTATGGATCGCGACCCGGTCAGTATTGAGTTGGCGATACAAGCGAATACTTCGAAGCGATACAACTGCGAACTAAAGTGATCAGTAGTACAATTGTGTTTTGTTATTAGTGTGGTTTCAAGTTGTAATTAGTGTTCTGTAATTAAAGTGTCAATTTTGGTAATTAACTCGGCAGTTTTAATTGTCTCGAGCCCCAAGTTTGTAACAATATATTTTGACAACTGAAAATTATTTAGGATCCTTGCACTTTAGACTTGAGAGTTTGCACTTCTTAATTGGTAGATGTTAGTAGGAAATATAAACAAATAAATAAATTAATTAATAAATTCGTAACTGATTGCTATAAGCTGTTAGAAGATATAACTAAACAAAATTACTCCCACGCTTCCATATTCTAAAGGAAACTATGTGCATAGACTATGATATTTAAATGGATAACGAAAAAATGCTCAGGATTTATTGTCACTGCGAAAGTAACACTTAAATGATCAATAAAAAAAATTTAACTGTGATCACTGACTGCGGTGAACTCAGTAATATAGGATATAATTCATATAATAATAATATAGGATGTAATGTATACATAAAATACGTACATATATAAATAATATATATATTTTAATTGCATTTAATTATACTTTTACATGTAGTGTTGATTATTTCTTTAGGTCGCCAGTTCCTGCCCACATTGCAGTGTTAGCTTAGTAAGTGTTCGCTGTAAATTTCACTGTACGCGGGCAACCTGGGTTCGATCCCTACCAGCACCAATGAAATTGTTAATTGCAATTTTAAGTGCTGATTTACCACGTGCTCGGCGCTGAAGGAAAACATCGTGAGGAAATCGTCGTTGATGGCTGCTCATCCCATACTGTGGCGACTAACGCCGGTGTTCCTCAGGGGTCCGTTCTCTCCGCAACTCTCTTCCTGCTGCATATAAATGATCTGCTCATTCCCGGTGTCTATGGGTATGCAGACGACAGCACAGTTGTGGAGAGAAACCAAGCGCCCGGGCCTGTCGGGATCAAATCCAGTCAGAAAGAGAGGCTATGGTTGAGCGTGTGAGTCTCACACTACAGGCAGTCTCCGAATGGGGCGATGCCAATCTCGTGAGATTTAACGCCTCCAAAACACAAGCGTGTCTTTTTACCGCTAAAAGGAGCCCGCTGACCTTAGCTCCTACTTTCCGGAATGTATCCTTGGAGTAAACTGGCCGCCTTCAGTTGTTCGGGATTGAATTTTCTCCGAACCTAAACTATGGGTGGTTCATTGAGTCCAGAGCCAAAGCAACCGCAAGGAAACTTGGTGTCCTTGCAAGGGTGCGGCGGTACTTCACGCCGGGGCAGCTTCTTACCTTATATAAAGCGCAAGTCCGGTCGTGCATGGAGTACTGCTGTCACATATGGGCTGGTGCTGCAAAATGCCACCTGGCAGCCTTGGAGTCAGTGGAGAGACGTGCTAAGAGGCTCATTGGTAACCTTGATTTGGTTGAAACCAATCTTGTCAGCCTCGAACACAGGCGCAGAGTAGCCAGTCTCTCGGTATTCTATAAGATGCATTTCGGTGAGTGTGCGCAGGAATTACACGCCTTGATTCCTTTCCTTTCCACCATCGGACAACCAGACGGTCGGCGGGTCTTTATCCCTTTGTTGTCGATATTCCACGCCTTAGAACCAAATGTTTTGCTTCGTCTTTTGTAATGCGTACAGCAAAGTAGTGGAATAATTTGCCGGCGTCTATCTTTCCGTCCGAATACAATCTAGGCGTCTTCAAGGCAAGAGTGAATAGGCTTTTGTTACGATAAGACAGTGCGATTTACCATCTAAGCCTGCATCACCACTTACCACCAGGTGGGATTGTGGACAAGCTCTGGCTTATAATAAGTAAAAAAAAAAAGAAACCTGCATGTCTGAGAAATAAGAAAAAAAATATTTCAAAGACGTGAAGTCCGCCAAGACGCATTGGAGCAGCGCGGAGGACACTTCCTTGCCCTAAAGCTCTCTCAGAAATGCGGGGAGACCTGTGCCCACGAGTGGAACGTATATAGGCTGTAACTTTAACCCGCGCATATTAGTGTTAAATCGATTGATATATCATGTCTAAAATCTGACAATGGTGGAAAAAGGAACTTACATACATACACATAAGTTGATAGCTAAAAATATTATCCTATTTCAGAGCAACGCCGCAATTGAGAAAAAAGTTCTTCGTACCTAAATGTGAAATTTATTTATTTAATCTTTATTCAAACTTACAAAACAGTATAGGATCAAAACGGACTTATGCTAAAACCATTCTCTACTTGTCAACCTTAGGGCAGTGATACGATACGAAGGCGGTTACAGAGAACATACAAATATTATAAAAAGTAAACATATCCATATATAAGATGCATAAAATAGTATACTGACTAAAAGAATATAGAGATTAACTATATTGATGACGAAGCTAAGCAGTTTTTTTTCTCATTGGTCATTTCGTGCATTTCATTACAGCCTATTAAAGTCGACTGCTGAACATAGGCCTCTCCCGTAGATTGCCTCATAAGTTGCCATAGTTGTCAGCTTGACAAGCAGGCTGTCAACTGCAGTTTTTTCTTTGTTCCTTTTACTATGAAGAAGACTACACTAGAAGTTAGTTTTTACGTGGTAGAGCCAAGCTGCAGCTATATTATGGTTGTAGCACGAATGGGTCGGCTCGACCGGAGTGGGAGCACGCTCTCACAGAATACCAACGTAAAATAGCAGCTTAACCCATTCACGGACGGTAACAGTTGAATCTGTGTTCTAGAATGACACAATAAATTTCCATATCAAAACCATACATTACGACGTACAATCACGTACCGCCCGTGAAAGTGTTAATGCTGCTGTGTTTCGTATGGTGAGTGTAGAGAACCGGATAGTCCTCAGGGGTGACAACGTATCTGCATTTTGATTCTTAATCGAGGATAAATGTAGATGTCTATAAGCCACAGCATCCACTTACCATCAGGTGGACTGTGTGCTCGTTTGTCACGCTTATTCTATAAAAAAGAAAAAGTCAGCTTCTGGCTTATTTCCCTCTGTCGCCTCTTAGGACAGCCTCGGGACGATATGGGGTAGTGCATATTCTTACACCGCCCCTACACGGTTTTCGAGCATTATGTTCGCCAAAATGCCACTTTAGCTTACTTCACACCTCCATAATAAAAGTAAATTATATTTTTGTGGACAAATTCTCTCTATTTTCACGTTTGTCTAAACCAATTGATCTTTGCCTGTAATGAAAATTGAAACTCGAATTGCGTTCTTTACATAAAGGAACTAATGCACGATTGAGTCTTGTCTATTTTCTGTGATGTTAGTGCTGTTAGGCAGTTGGATTTTACAGCTTCATCGAACTGAGGACTCGCGGCTCCGAGTTATAGCGGTTGAATGAGCATAGTTTCAATCATTTTTTTCATTTAGAGTAAGCAATATTTTTAATAATTACTTTCTTTATGCCAAGAAGTGAAAATATTTTCATATTTTTTCTATATATAAGATGCATTTAATGGAGGACAATGATGACATGTTGGAGCAGCTCGGATTGATGGAACATCAGGCCAACAACAACAACTTAGCAATACCTCCACCACCTCCACCGCCCTTGCCACCGCAGCCATTGGAACAGGACAGACACTAAATTCACTCTACCACAGTCATCATATTTCCTGGTAATTTATGTATTTTTTATGTAGTTTTATTCGCTAATTAGGACAATAAGTAGATCAATTTCGCAACCGCTTTCGCCTTCAATACCGAAGAATATTCTGACGTATAGTGTGAGGAAGAGCTTATATTTTTTCTAACTAAATAATAGCTCTCCTATTTAAGAAACCTTAAGCTCTGGCCCAATTATTACATAATATGTGGATATCAAAAAGTTAATAATAATAACAGCTGTGTTTGATTTTTTTAATATAATAAGGGTGACAAACGAGCACACAGTCCACCTGGTAAACGGATGCTGTGGCCGATAGACATCTACATCCATCCTCGATTAAGAATCAAAATGGAGATACGTCATCAACCGTGAGGACTAAGATGGAAAGCCTCGTTTCCATTAAAAAGGGTATCCGGTTCTCTGCACTCACCATACGAAACACAGCAGCATTAAGCTGCTATTTTACGCTGGTATTCTGTGAGAGCGTGGTCCTCTACCCCGGTCGAGCCGACCCATTCGTGATTCAACCGTAATATAGCTGCAACGTGACTTCACCACGCAAAATGCCGCCGTAAGTGCATATAGATCAGTCATCCAGTTACGCCTCGTGGGTCGTAAAAAGCGAATATGAGAAGGGCCCGAAAAGTCTCATGGCCTCTGATAAGTGATGGTATACTATCTCACATATACCAGATGTAAATACCAATAGTGGTGACGGAGATCACCGTCAAATGTTTCGAGAGATACAACTGTGAACATCAGTTCGCCCGCCAAGTGTGGGGAATTTGTCAAACCCTTTCTAAAATGAAAAAGACTTATGTCCAGCTGTAGACTATTACAGAGAAAATGAAAAGTAAAAAAAAGTAAAGTTGCAGCCTATTTACGTCCCACTGCTGGGCACAGGCCTCCTCTCATTTCTGAGAGGGTTTTAGGGCAAGGAAATGTCCGCCGCGCTGCCCCAATGCGTGTTGGCGAACTTCACATGCCTTCGAAATATTTTTTTTCTTATTTCTCAGACTCCTCACGATGTTTTCCTTCACTGCCGAGCACGTGGTAAATCAGCACTTAAAATTGCAATTAACAATTTCATTGGTGCCGGCGGGGATCGAACCCGGGTTGCTCGAGTACTGTGAAGCTTACAGCGAGCGCTAACCATCTGAGCTACCACGGCTCTAGAACTAGAGAAGATGATAATAATAAATAATGATACATTCTGTTTATATTGCATTTGATTCGTGTGCAATAATAGTAGATGGACCAACATGTTATTTTGCTCAGTTATTGTACATCAAGCTATCAAAGCTAGCTTTATTGAGTTATAAAATAAATTACTCGGTATAATTAGGTGACGATAACCCGATTTATGAACGATCATTTATCACACCACTCGTTTTATATCTAGGTCAAATGGAAAAGGGTATAAACACGATAGCCCTGTAGTGGCAGCGTAGGAGAGCCCACTAAGTACCCCATATCATCCCGTGGGTGAGCACAAAGTGGGACACTGAAATAGGAGATGCAGCAGTACTTTTGGTACCCGACGCAAACAGACGTTATATGTTTTTAACGTTTGTCTGTCTGTGGCATCGTAACTCCCAAACGGATCACCGATTTAGATTTAGTTTTTTTTTTCTTTGAAAGGTGACTTGATCGAGAGTTAGTTTGAAGATCATCAGCTCTTTTAGTTTCGGGGGTTTTTTGAAATTTTGAATTTAAGTTATTGCGATAACAACTCAATAGTAGTAAAAAACTGCGCTTGCCAGCGTGGCAACTAAGGCCAATGTAAATACATAATCAATCTTTCGGCGAGCATATGTTCAGCAGTGGACATTTGACGAGCTGTAATGAATGATTAAATAAACAAAATATGCCTTCTTTTACAGTTAAAAAAAGCTAAATGAATTCGACATTTAAATAATCTATTTTATACGATATTTCGAGAATAAATAGTGTTTAAGGTATAAAATATAACAAAACATGGAAGCTAAGAAATGTAAAATAAATAATATCGTATTCTTTCTTTTTTTGACTTGTCATAAATACGCCAAACGACGCATGGCTTGAAATGTTTGTCGACACTCCCAACTGAAAAAGACTGCAATTGCGAGCTAGCTGCTAGCACTAACATCAACCGAGCGTACTAGAGGACAGATGGGTCTCACTATTGTTGGGACGTTGGATATGTTATATAGATATACAGGAAATTAGACGCGTCCTGACCTGGGAGTGTCATCTGTTAATTTTAATTTTAACTTTTTTATAATAAAAGAGAGAAACGGGGACACAGTTCACTTGATGGTAAGTGAATGCTGTGATAGTGTGTGTGTATCTACATAGGCATCTACATATATCCTTGATTAAGAATCAGATGCAGCATGCAGATGCGTTGTTACCCCTGAGAGTTAAGACGGAAAGCCTTGTTTCCAGGGGGCCTCCGGTTTTTTCTACACGAAGCACACGAAACAGCTACATTTTACGCCGTCGGTCGAGACCACCCATTCGTGCTACAACCATAACATGCTGTAGCGTGACTCTACCACGTTAGAAAATTCTAAATTTAATTTTAATGTAATTAACACTAGATTATAAGATATAAATTATTTATATTAAATTATAAATTACTAACAAACGGGTTAGTATGATGAGCGCAAAGCCAACTCCCTAGGTAGTGCGTATGAGTCTAGTAAGGTTCTACTTTCTACCCTGATAATGCCGTACCGCATGATCAGACTTTGAGAATTTCGTTCAGCACGAGTGGGACAGTTTAACGCGATCAGTATGTCGTTGGAGCCCGTTCGTCAATCAGACATATTTTCTTTTAAAATTCTTATTATATACACGAAGTACAGACTCGACGAAGAATATTGATGCCCTTAATTGTTATCAACAATTCCGCAAAGGCGCTTTTAAACTTTCCATAAGGTCAATGAATTGTTTGTTTATATCACAAGAATATTCCACAATTCGCCAGAGTGTTTAAGATTTTAGTGTTGGTTTTATTTGTCTTTCGTCGATCGAAATTCGAAGGTTTACATAACTAAAGCTTAAACTTTAATTTAGCACTGTTTCAGAAGGACCTAATCGTTTTTTTTAAGTAATTTAAAAGTAAGTGGCTGTGGCTAAAACATTACATAAAATACCTATAGGTCAAGCACAAGTTTAAATGTATTAAATGAATTAACTTATAATGATTTTAAAATTAACACCTTCTATCTTCGATTAAGAATCGAAATATAGGTGCGTTGTTACCCCTTACGACTAAGGTAGTATGCCTTGTAACCAGTAAAAAAGATTTTCGGTTCTCTACACTCACCATACGAAACACAGCAGAATTAAGCTGCTATTTTATGCTGGTATTCTGAATTTAAAATAATAAAACAAAATAATGTGGAACCTAAAACATTTTTGTATTAGATATTGCATTAGATTTAAATGATCGGACTTCTAACTTTGAGCTGTTATTAAGGCTTCAAGTTGTAACATTCTCCCTCAAGAAATAGTTATATATATATTTTATTTTCAGGTAATCTTAAAGATCGGTACGGTATGCCAAGTTGAGAAACTTTTACTACGATGAGAAGTGTTTACATAGATATCGACAATATAGTCAAGTTATTAGTTTTGTTAAATTATTATGTAACAGTAATTTATTTTTAAAATATTTACATTTTGTTATAGTTTTTTTCTGGCATATTTATAATGTGATATTTCGTGATGCGAATCATTTCTGTATTTTTGGATCATTTTTGACGCTTGTATAAATTTTTCTGAGAAATATATGCTACTAGGACATTTCTATTCTTTTATTTTTAATTAACTATAACGTAATTACTAATTATATGAACATTTTAAAAATACTTATATAGTAATCGTATATTTAAAGTCACAGAATAATTTACACACACAACGCAAATAAATATCGCATTCTTAAATAATACACCTAAAACTAAATAATAAGAAGAGCCTTTTTTTTTCATTTTAAAACTTTGATAATATATACCATATATTATATAAAATTATAATATCGTTATTCTGTTATTTATTTTATTGCAACACTTGTGGGCAACATGTTTATTATTTTTTTTGTAAAATGATAGATTATAAACTTTAGTCTGTGAATTATAAATATACATATTATTCAGGTGTATTAAGCGAAACAAGGAGGCTCTTTTAAGAATCTAGATTCTTATGTTTCTTTGTTTTTAAATTAATCTTTAATCAAAAAAGAGTGCCCATTACACAAAGATGAATGTTTTTTAAGAATGTTGTTTACCTTTATTCTGTTCGTTACACAAATGTCGCAGGAAAATTTGCAGCGTGTTCACATATCACAGAGGTAATCTGGTTCGTGTCGCACAGCTTCACCGATAGCGGCTGCTTGCACGAATGTTTTCACCGCTGTGTCGGAAGTGCAGTGCTGCCATGCCCTGTCGGTCCACACCACTGCCGAAAAACACGCGCCATTGCTTATGAATGCACGTAAAGTCACAGCTCCCATACCACGTCCCATGCAGCGCCAACCTTCACTTTGTATAGATTTCACGAAACAGTCCCAGGCACCTAGGTACCTCCCAACTATGTCACCTTGTATCCTCGACTTTACTACGTCAATTGGATATAAAAGGACCCAAGATAGTGCTCCCGCTACTCCTCCAGCAGTAAAAACCCTCATAGCGGACTGATCTCCTCTTGTCATCGCCTCGTAAGATGTAAAATAAATAGCGAAAGCGGGACTATCGCGAGCTGCAGTTATACCGAGTCCACGGAAGAGCGCCTTGAATCCTCCATTTTTTAAGATATGCCTGGCTCCACTCCACGCACCTTTGGGCATACCTTCTCCTTCTTTAGCAAGTTGCTGCCGCGTTTTAACAAGCTCTACGGGTGCGCAAATGAAACTTTGCATCAGTCCGGCCGCAGCGCCAGCGATCGCGTGGGTGGTTAGCGAGTCAGAGTTTGGCAAAGATCTTCTTGTGTTTCCATATGCTCCAAATACTATCGCGTTCACTGCGGCAATTCCTCCCAAAGGCGCCCACACACCGCGATAAACTGTTGAAAGGGTTCCTCCATTCAATAGAGACTTCGTACATTCCAATGCACTGCCTCTTCCTGACTGTATATGAACCTTCAAAGTATCTAATGGATGACCAGCTATGATACCAACACTACCTGAAATAGATCAATAACTATACTTTTTATTGAACTTAAGTAAATATAATTCGATGAGTCAACAATTATAGATATCACTTACCACCAATGCATCCAGCTATAAAGTCAAGAGCCATTTTGATATATTAACTATATCGCCGATGCACAGACGTCTGTAATACAAAGCAAACAATATATTTTACTATATTATTGAATACAATATAAGAAGGATAGAAGAACTTAACACTGTGTTTACCGTAATTTCTTTTTAACTTAACTATAACATGTTTAATTAATGACATTATTGTAAATCGTCACACACAAATGACATGCCTCCAGATAGACCAAGAGCAGCAGTTTGGAGTGTTGTATATCAGTATAATATTTTATTATTTATAAACTTTGTGATAGACAGTTGCCACAGCTGACCTATGATGATAAGACAAAATTGCAAAGAAAATCTTACCTCTGTATAGTTCAAATCAAATAATCGTAGTGGGAATTGACGTTGCCTCCACTGGAAGTGATGCCAATGAACATGTTGCTTTAAGCTAAAGTAAGGTGGGCCTCAGTATATTGCGGCGTCATATACTCTGCCTCTGCTCCAAGAAGTCTTGTGTGTACGGTATTCGTAGTCAACGGTCACCGTCCGTCTCCCGCGCTTGTCCGCTCGAGACTCTTCTACGCGTATCGCCTTGGGGTCACCCTTATCGCCCGATCCATAATACGTCTTGAAACAAACTCGCATTTCCCTACGTTCAATGAAATAGTTAGATTTTTATAATACAATTAACCTGGTGGGACCTTGTCATGTTGATATTGCAATAACGTGTTATGTAATTTTAGGCGTTCCTACATTATATTAGGTATATTAAATTTATTTGCGGGTTGCAGGTGTGATTTACTACGATTGTAACATTTCTTATTATTTTATCCATCAATGCATGTTCCAATTATAGTATATGTCCCTATGTTTCAATCCTTCAGATAAAATCAAAATATTTGAAAAATCAGCCCTTTGTGATTGTACCTTTTTTTATAGAATAAGGGTGACAAACGACCACACAGACCACCTGATGGTAAGTGGTTGCCGTGGCCCATAGATATTTACATCTATCTTCGTTTGCGAATTAAAATGCGGATGCGTTGTCAGCCGTGAGGACTAAGATGGAATGCCTCTTTTTGTCTTTTTGTCTTTAGTCTCTAATTGGTCTAGTCAACAAGTTCAAAAACGTGTTAATTCTTATTCCCGCTCTTAAAAATATGTGTGATAGCTCATTCGATTTGGAATGATGTCTAGAAAAATGTATCTCGAGGACTTATTAGCACATAAAAATTTGCAATTGTTATTAACAAAATAAGATGAAAAAAAAAGATATTTAGTTTTACTTTAATAATTCAAAAACTGTTAATATTTAAGAACTTTTGAAAAAGGATACTTAAAGAGGAGGAGATTTCCAATAAGAAATCTTGACTACCGAAATTCTATCTCCATTATTTATTATTTTTATTTAACGCCTAAATTAGAACTCCGCGCGGCCGTTACGGCTAGAGCGCATCGCCGCTGAAGACAGTATGTGCCGGACCGGCGAAACTCGTGAGTAAATGTTAACGAATATACTCCGAGAGTCGCTCACGTCCTACTCCTATTGGTTCCGGAGGATACTTCTACTGCCATTTTTGTGGGTGCAGCCTGGGGTGCTGTGGACTGACGTTCAATCAAAATGCACGAACTCTAGAATATAAATGGCAAGGCAGTGGACAGCGGTTCGACTGATCAATTGTTCCGCGAAAATCTTCTGATTATTGGTTATTAACCACGGTTGCTAAATATGGTTATTCAACTACGGTTGCTTACTATTGGTTGGTCACTATATTTTTCAGATGATTTCTTCAGTTGTTTGGTAGTAACTTACTTCTACAAGTACTAGCTGCTTCTATTATCACTATTTAACTAGCTGCTATTATCATCTGCTATGTTGTACTACTAGCTACCACTATCACTTATCTAGCTGCTATTACCAGCTAACTAGCTATTACTGTCACTTGCGTAACTGCTATTATCAGTTACTATGTTGTACAACTAGCTATTACTATCACTTATGTAACTGCTATTATCAGTTACTATGTTGTGCATCTAGCTATTACTATCACTTGTGTAGCTGCTATTATCAGCTACTATGTTGCTAGCTACTATTCACTATGTTCTATGCTCTGCTACTAGTCACTTCAGCTATTACTTGTTAATGGTAGTTCTTGTTACTACAGTGTTACTGGGTTCCGAGGCCCTAAGGTAGACTCAAACGTTACTTTAAAGTGAGCCGCTTGCCATTGTCCGATTTGCCTCTTTATTGTATAAAATGTTCACTATACAATTGTCTTAAATTACAATTTTTTCTATACATGATTATTTCTTACGCTAATGTATTATACATTTTTAAATCGGCAATTTAGTCCTCTATTAACACACCACAAAAGTTTCTTAATATATTAACAATGTAAAAAGTTATTAACCAAAATATCCCAAATTTTCATAATATTTGGGTACATTAATTTTTTAATTTTACTATAAATAAGAAATAAGTTTCATCACCCCCTGTAGTTCCCGTGTAGTGGCGGGTAAGAATACTCACTACCCCATATCTTTCCGTGGGTGTCGTAAAAGGCGACAGAGGGAAACTGAAGCAGAAGATGGGCAGCAGCATCTTTCTGATTACAGCAAAAAGCAATAAAAAAATTGCCAACCCGCTCACTAAGCCTGGCAACTATGGCAATATACCCCCATGAGCAATGACACTAATAAACGGCTCCCAGTCCCCGGCGGCCCCGCCATTCCTGGCTACGGTGGCGACCATGGTAACGGCGGGGCAGAGGGTGCTAAGAATCTCCGGTGGAAGTTCGGTTGCCATCTACGACAACTCGACCTGGCAACTTATAATGCACGCACCTTGAGGACTGACGAGAAGATCCTGGAGCTGGAAGAAGAGATACACAAGTTGCGCTGGAATATTATAGGATTACCAAAAGTCCGAAGAGAGGGGGAGTACGGTAATCCTCGAATCCGGCAACTTGTTCTGTAACCGGGAGGGTGACCATTTGTCCCAAGGAGATGTCGAATTTATCGTCCACAAGTCTTTCGTTAACAACGTCGTAAAGATTGGGAGTGTGTCGAGGAGGGTTGCTTATCTTCTACTCAGAGTTACCAAACGGTATTTGCTGAAGGTCATGCAGGCTTACACACCAACCTCGGCACATCCTTAAGAGGAGGTGGAGGAAATGTATGAGGATATCTCTAGAGCCATGCATTCCTCCAAAACCCACTGTACGGTGTTAGTGGGAGACTTCAACGCAAAACTAGGCACAAGAGAGAACGGTGAGCTGAAAATATGGAAATTCGGAATAGGGCAATGGAACCCAAGGGGCCAGCAGCTGGCCAAATTCATCGAGAAATAGGGACTCTTTATGATGAACTCTTTCTTCCAGAAGCGGCCCCACAGAAAGTGGCATGGTCGAGCCCCAACGGTTCGACTAAAATGAGATTGACTTCATTATGACGACCAGACAACAACTCGTCAGTGATGTCTCAGTGATCGCGAGGGAGAAAACTGGTAGCAATCACCGAATGGTTAGAGGCACACTGAACCTAAACGTTAAGTTGGAGAGGTGTCGTCTAATGAAGTCAACGCTCGGTTTCCCTCGTGCTCTAATCCAAAGCCCAGAAAACTTTCACCTCGAGTTACAAAATTGTTTTCAGTGCCTAGAAGATTGCAATGTAGTGGACGATATAAATCACAAGCTCATGGACATTGTCCATGCGGTCGGAGCTAAGTTTTGCAAGACCCGCCGCAGAAGAACACAATAACTTCTTGGTCACACTCTTAACCTCATGGCTGTTAGACTAGAGTAGATTTGATGGTATACAGGCAACTGCACAGACTGATCCCCAAATGCATGCGGTGGGACTTACGCAATTTTAGTACTGCTCGTATTGAAGAAGCAATCGAGCGGAACCAGGGCTCCAAAGTCTTTGCCAGAGATCTGTCTGCCAAAAAATACCAACTGTCGAAGCTGAAGACCGAATGTGGCAGCATCGTTTCCGAGACACCTGAGATTTTAAGTGAGATTGAGAGGTTCTATGAGCAGCTGTACACATCATCGTTGGAGCCACACGCAAGTGTGAGTAACGATCCAAGAGCAAGTCTTATCTGACACTATTCCGAACATATCCCGGACGTCAGTCTGAGTGAGATTAGAATGGCTCTCTAGCACTTTAAAAGCGGCAAGTCTCCGAGCGAGGATTGAATTACAGCGGAGCGTCTGTAGGCGGGTAGAAAACTGGTACTTAAAGTCCTTCAGAAGCTCTTGAATTCCGTCCTTCATGGAGGCACTACTCCGGAGGCGTGGAACAGAAGTGTGGTGGTCTTGTTCTTCAAGAAAGGCGATAACGCTCTCTTGAAGAACTACAAGTCGATTTTTCTTCTCAGCCGCGTCTATGTGCTGTTTTCGAAAGTCATTACGAATCGTCTAGCATGCAGACTCGACGACTTCCATTATCCCGAACAAGCCGGTTTCCGAAAAGGCTTTAGCATCATAGACCACATACATACCCTTCGGCAAATTATACAGAAGACCGAAGAGTACAATCTGCCACTTTGTCTTGCGTATGTGGACTATGAGAAAGCCTTTGATTCCGTCGAAATTTGGGCGGTGCTGCAGTCCCTCCGGCGGTGCCAAGTGGACTGTCGGTATGTTGAAATGCTAAAGTGATGGATACGGTATTAACGTCACTGGCGAGTACATCATTCACCTTCGATTTGCCGACGATATAGTCCTTATGGCAGAATCGTTGGAGGACCTAAGCACTATGCTCAATGACCTCAATAGTGTCTGCCAACGGATAGGTCTTAAGATGAACATGGACAAAATAAAAATCATGTTTAACGTCAATGTCACGCCTATTCCGGTAGTTGTTGGGAGCATTAAGCTCGAAGTTGTTGACGAGTATGTTTACCCGCTACAAATAGTCCGACTAGGTAAGTCCGAATTCGACCGAGAGGTCAATCGACGGATTCAACTCGGCTGGGCAGCGTTCGGGAGATTACGACACATCTTCTCGTTAGACATACCTCAAAACTAG